ATACACATCCTATTGGTTCTGTTTCTCTGGAAACCCTGACTAATACAGGCATATTATATCAAATCAGATGGAGACATTTCAAAAAAGGAAAATTATAGGGCCACTCCATTCATGAATATGGATATAAAAAATCCTTAAAATATTAGCAAATCTAAGCCAAGAGGGTGTAAAAAAGCATTCATACCATTGCTTAATTGAATTTAACCCAGCTATGCAAAACTGGTTTATAAAACTGGTTTAATATTAGAAAATCCATGAATGTAAATCATTTTATAAACTGATTAAAAGAGAAAAAAACCATATTATAATGTCAATTGATTCAGAAAAATCCTTTGATAAAATCCAACTCTCAATCATAATAAGTACTTATAGAAAATGAAGAAGAGAAGAGAAAATCTGCAACCTAAAAAAAAAAAAAAAAAAAAGGAACAGCTAGAGAAACCTGATCCTAAATGGGGAAATTTTGGAAGCATTCCTTTGAAGTCAGAAAAGCTGAGAATGCCCACTAATGCCACTTTTATTTAATATGGTATTGGAGATTTATACTGGAGATTCTACCCTGTACAAATACAACAAAGAAAAAGGATATTAGAGGCTGAGCACAGTAGCTGGTACCTATAATCCCAGTACTTTGGGAAGCTGAGGCCAGAGAATCACTTGAGCGCATGTGATTTCACTTCGAGACCAGCCAAGGCAACATAGTAATATCTTTTTTTTTCTGAGACGGAGTCTTACATTTTCGCCCAGGCTGGAGTGCAGTGGTACAATTTCAGCTCACTGCAACCTCCTTCTCTCAGGTTCAAATGATTCTTCTGCCTCAGCCTCCTAAGTAGTGGGATCACAGTCACCTGCCACCACACCCAGCTAATTTTTGTATCGTAGAGACAGGGTTTCACCATGTTGGCAAGGTTGGTCTCAAACTTTTGACCTCAAATGATCAGCCTCCCTCAGCCTCTCAAAGTGCTGGAATTACAGGTGTGAGCCACTGTGCCTGGCCAGCATAATAAGATCTTATTTTTACAAAAAGTAAAAAAATTAGTGGGACATGGTGGAACACACCTGTCCTAGCTACTACTGAGGCTGAGGTAGGAGGACCACTTGAGCCTGGGAAGTCAAAGCTGCAGTGAGCTGTGATTGCGTCACTGCATGCCAGCCTGGGTGACAGGGCAAGAATGTCTCAAAAAGAAAAAAAAATGATAGGTTGGGCGCCGTGGCTCACACCTGTAATCCCAGCACTTTGGGAGGCTGAGGCAAGCGGATCACTTGAGGTCAGGAGTTCGAGAGCAGCCTGGCCAACATGGTGAAACCCTGTCTCTACTAAAAATACAAAAATTAGCCAGGTGTCCTATCGTCCTATAGTAATCCCAGCTACTTGGGGGGCTGAGGAAGGAGAATTGCTTGAACCTGGGAGGGAGAGGTTGCAGTGAGCCGAGACCACACCTTTGCACTCCAGCCTGGGCGACAGAGCGAGACTTTGTCTCAAAAACAAAAATAAATAAATAAATAATAAAAAGAAAAGAAAAATAACAAATCCAAATAAATGTACAGATAAATTATTAGAAATATTTATCGCTGGCTATAGATTACCAAGCCAGTTGTATTTCTATGTAACAGCAGCAAACAACTAAGAATACAATTAAAACTAAAAATAGGCCGGGTACGGTGGCTCATGCCTGTAATCCCAGCACTTTAGGAGGCTGAGGTGGGTGGGTCATGAGGTCAAGAGATGGAGACCATCCTGGCCAACATGGTGAAACCCTGTCCCTTCTAAAAATACAATAATTAGCTGGGTGTGGTAGTGCGCGCCTATAGTCTCAGCTACTTGGGAGGCTGAAGCAGGAGAATCGCTTAAACCTGGCAGGTGGAGGTTGCAGTGAGCCGAGATCGTGCCACTGCACTGGAGACAGAGCAAGACTCCATCTCAAATAATAATAATAATAATAATAATAATAATAATAATACAGGTGTATCGAGAATATCAAGTCCCTAGGAATAAATCTACCAGGTCTTCAAGATCTCTACAGACAAAATATTAAGGATGTCAATTCTCCTCAGATTGATCTGGAAGTTCAATGTGATTTCAATAAATATCCCAACAGAGTTGTCATGGAACTTGGTAGGTGCTTTTAAAATTTCTGTGGAAGAGTAAAGGGCCAGAAATAGCCAGGGAATTTCTGTAGCTGAAAGAAGGGAAGTGATGCTTGGGAGGAGATAAAGGAGGAGAGAACCAGCTGGGGGCAGTGGCTTGAGCCTGGGACTGAGAATCCCTTGAGCCCAGGAGGTCAAGGCTGCAGTGAGATATGATTGCATCACCGCACTCCAGCTTGGGCTGACAGAGCAAGACCCTGTCTCTAAAACAAAATTTAATTTAATTTTTAAAAGAGAAGAGAACCAGAGGTTCACAAAGGGTTCATTGCCAAATCCCCTGAGGGACCTCTTTCAGCTGACAAATTTTTGGACTTCTAGACTGCAAACTAGGTTGGTATCTCCCTTTGTAGTCTGGAAGTACTCAATACTAATTTCACTTTATTAGAAGAATGAGGTTGGAAAAGGAGAGGAGAAGATCAAAAGGAATGTCATTCTACCCACAGTTCTGAGCATACAGCAAAACCTCAAATGAGCCAAAATCCCCTGCTTGGGGTTTCCATCTGCTGTATGGAGTTAAGGCTTGCTGGCTATGTATCTGTCAAAAAGTTTGCACAAGTGTGGGAGAGAGATAAAGGCAATGCTGTCAGTATTTATAAAAGAATCAACTCAGAGCATCATAAAAAAAGAAAATAATTTAAATTTCACTCATAAGCCCAAGCATCCCAGTGAAAAAACTATTTTTATCTTCTCATGTTTCTTTATAGTCCTAATTTCTATATATAAATAGAGGCACACAATATTTTGCATAGTCATCACTTTAAAGACTACACAATATTCATCCACTGTTTCTCTGGCTTTGGACATTTCTGCTATTTCTGATTTTTTTTCACTGTCATAAAGAATGCTCTATAAACATTTTGTGCAGTCACGTTCTCTCTCATTTCAGAACCAGGGTCAGAACGTTGAGAAGTATGCTAGGTTTCTAGTAATTACTTTTTCTATTTTCCAAATATTCTAGCAAGAAGCTGTACCTATTTCTCAACCTTTATAGATACCCTCTCCTATGGTTTACTTAATGTTATCTGCATAATGAGTACAGTTCCAGTTTCTAGAATCAATCTGGGAGATTAAGAAGGGTTATTTAACTAGTTCCAGTCCTATAGCCATTTAAAACACAAACATTAATGATCAACCATGAGACAAGCAAAGCACCAAAGACCACCCCACCCAGGCAAATCTCTGAAACACTTATGGTGGAGAATATTGTAAACTTTCATCATTGAGCTAATGACACACCCTTATTTCAAATACTACATCTTGGAGAAATAAGCCAAAATCTGGTAAGCCACCCTCTTCTGATGGAATAGCATTGAGAGAGCAAGACCAGAGATTAAGATTCTTCTTCAATGGATGAGAGCAGTGGAAGTGATGTGATAGAATGTGGTGCAGAGGATTCCCCCGAAACATCTGAGCCCTGGTCACACGAGCCCTGGCCTCATAAGGCTGAAATTACCTTTGAAGAAATCACCGTTTGACCAGACCCTCCTCCCTTTGCTTTCTCCAGGATAAGGAAATTGAGGCCTAGGCAGCTAAGACCAAACCAGGAATAACCATGAACTTGTATTGACCTTAGGGGAAAGCTGTCTGCATTGGCTAGCTAGCTATTGGTTCGCATCGAAGTAAAGTGCAAATAAATAAGCCCAGTACATCTACCCAGAGCTCCCAAGTCAGTTCCTTGTGGCTTCCTTCTCCTTCTCCTTTTCTTTTTTTTGAAACAGGGTCTCACTATGTTGCCCAGGCTGATCTTAAATTCTTGGGCTCAAGCAATCCTCTCGCCTGAGCTTCCTGAGTAGCTGGGTCTATAAGCATGCACCACCACGCCTGCTTTATTCTTAAATATAAACAGATGACAAAGATCAGACATTTCTGGAATCAACATAAGTGTCTATCAACAGATGAATGGATAAAGAAAATGTGGTACATATATACAATGGAAAATTATTCATCCTTAAAAAAGAATGCAATTTTGTCATTTGCAGCAATATGGTTGGAACTGGAGATCATTATGTTGAGTGATATAAGCCAGGCACAAAAAAACAAATATCACATGTTCTCACTTATATCTGGGAGGTCAAAAAGAGGGTTTCATGGAGGTAGAGAGTAGACTCGTGATTACAAGAGGCTGGGAAGGGAAGAGGAAAGGGCAGATGAAGAGAAGTTTGTTACAGGGTACAAAAATAAAGTTAAAGAAACAAATTCCAGTATTTGATAGCACAGTAGGGAAGTTGTAGTTAACAATAACTTATTATATATTTTAAAATAGCTAGAAGAGCTGTAATGTTTACAACACAAAGATAAATATTTGAGGTGATGGATATGCTAATTACCCTGATTTGATCATTATACGTTATATATATATATATATATATATATATATATATATCTGTCGAAATCACATGTACTCCCCCAAATATGCACAATGATTATACATCAATTTAAAAAAAATTTTTAAGAGAATGACCAAGATCAACTAAGAATAAGATGTTATATAAAACAAAGGAAGTGATGGGGGATGTTATTAATGGAGGAGGCAATGCATGTGTAGGACATCGGGTGCATGGGCTATCTGAGCACCTTCCTGTCAATTTTTCTGTGAACCTAAAAGTGTTCTAAAAAATAAGTCTTTAATATGTTGAGGGACAGGGAGCAGGAGGAAAGAAAAATCAGAAGCCAAGATGAGTTATTGGACATTACAAATATTTGCCACGTTTTTAATGAGTTTAATAGAAGAGAAGGACATAAATGCATATGAATCTCCTAGGACGTAGAACAAAGACAAAGAATTAGAAAATATGAGAGAAGGAAAATAGAAATAAAGGATCAATTCAGAAGGTACAACCTCTAACAAAGAGAACTTTTTAAAAGAGAAAACTAAAGACAAGAAATTATCCAAGGATAAAGACAAGAAATTTTCCTAGATGTTAAAAACCAAGTTTCCAGATTAAAAGGTCTACCAATTTCCCAGGACAAAGATAAAAGACTCATATCTAGATATAGCATTGTGAAATTTCAGAAACCCAAGGATAAAGACAATATTCTGAAAGCTTCCAGTGGGGAAAACAGATGACTTCCGAAGTCATGGTCTGGACACAGAGTGCTTCAGATCCTCTCATACTCTCTGCTAAGTCCAGTTCATCACAGGGTCTTTGCAGCTGTCAACTCTGCAAAGATTCGGTACAAGGGGATTAGGGAAGAGCTAAGTTCCTGCTGCTGCAGCTGGTCTCAAAGCCATAATTGATATTTATCGTCTCCCTGTAATATCCAACAATACAGCGTTATTATTATTGCTTTATACAATCATGCCTTTTAGAAAAGCTAGAAGGAGGAGAAAATATATAGGATTTTATATTAAGCTACATGTTTACCATTTCCAGTATGCTTCATTTTTCTCTTTGAATTTTAGGTACAACTAGAGCCATCTCCTTGCTCAAATGTAGCTTCATTCCTTCCTTCCTCCTTTGTGTCATTATTGTTACATAGATTACATTTTAATGTGTTATAAGTCTAACAATACTTTATATTTATTGTTTTATGCAGTTGCCCCCCTGTTTTTTGTTTTTTGTTTTTTTTTAGATAGAGTCTCACTCTGTTGCCTAGGCTGGAGTTGGAGTGCAGTGGCACCATCTCGGCTCACTGCAACCTCTGCCTCCCAGATTCCAGCGATTCTCATGCCTCAGCCACCTGCGTAGCTGGGATTACAGGTGTGCACTAGCATGTCCAGCTAATTTTTTGTATCTTTAGTAGAGATGAGGTTTCACTATGTTGGCCAGGCTGGTCTCAAACTCTTGGCATCAGGTGATCTGCCCAACCCCACCTCCCAAAGGTGAATAGAAATTTTTCTATTCACCTATGGAAGGACATGTTGGTGGCTTCCAGGTTTTGGCAATTATGAGTAAAGCTACCATAAATATCTATGTGCAGGGTTTTTTTTTTTTCCCAGAGGTAAATGTTCAATTACTTTGGGTAAATGCCAAGGTGCACAATTGCTGGATCATATGGTTAGAATACGTTGACTTCTAGAAATTTCTATATCAATTGAACAATTAAATTGTTTTCAGGAGCTTGAGTAAAATATTTCAACTTGATTATTTAATTCCAACTCTTCACTCTTGTGAATCATTTTGTACATGTATGTACCTTTGTGGGAAAGACTGCCCCATCACAATAGTTTGCTGGATAGCCAAGTGACATGTTGATTTGCCATGCAATGAAGCTTAAGTTTTTGGAAGAATTAAAAAAAAAAAAAAAGAATACATTTACTTTTAGAAGAAACCATCAAGCTGTCTTCCAAAGTGGGTATAGCATTTTGAATTCACACAAGCAATGAAAGAGAGTTCCTGTTATGCCACAAACTTGTCAGCACTTGGTGCTGTCAGTGTTTTGGAGTTTAGCAATTCTAGTAGGTGTGTAGTGATCTTGGCTTCTTCATGTTGATTGACAATATCATCTTCCTTTCATCTTCAAGACTTCTTGTAGTATAGTTTGAAGTTGGGTAATGTGAGGCCTCAGCTTTGTTCTTTTGCTTAGGATGGCTTTGGCTATTCAGGATCTTTTTTTGTTCCTTGTATATTTTAGAATATTTCTTCCTAAATCTGTGAAGAATGTCATTGGTATTTTAATAGGAATAGCATTAAATTTGTAAATTGCTTTGGGTAGTCTGGGCTTTTTTATCTCTTTCTTTCTTTTTGAGACAGAGTTTCACTCTTGTCCAGGTTGGAGTGTAATGGCAAGATCTTGGCTCACTGCAACCTCCATTTCCTGAGTAGCTGGGATCACAGGTGCCTGCCACCATACCTAGATGATTTTTGTATTTTTAGTAGAGATAGGGTTTTACCATGTTGGCCAGACTGGCCTCAAACTCAAAATCCCAATGTGCTGGGATTACAAGTAGGCAGATCATGAGGTCAGGAGATCAAGACCATCCTGACCAAAATGGTGAAACTCTGTCTCAACTAAAAATACAAAAATTAGCTGGGTATGGTTGCGTGTGCCTGTAGTCTCAGCTACTCAGGAGGCTGAGGCAGAAGAATTGCTTGAACTTGGGAGGCGGAGGTTGCAGTGAGCCAAGATTGGGCCACTGCACTCCAGCCTGGAGACAGAGCGAGACTCCATCTCAAAAAAAAGAAAATGTTGGCAAGGTGTGAAGAAAAGGGAACACTTATACACTTCTGGTGGGAATTTAAATTAGCTCAGTCACTGGAGAATATAGTTTGGAGATTTCTCAAAGAACTTAGAACTACCATTTGACCTAGCAATCTAATTACTGGCTATATACGCAAAGAATGTAAATTGTTTTACCAAACATACATTCACTCGCATGTTTATCATAGCACTATTCACAATAGCAAAGACACAGAATTAACATAGATGCCCATCAACAATGGAATGGATAAAAAAAAAAAAAGCAGTACATATACACCATGGAATATTACACAGCCATTAAAAAAGAATGAGATCACATCTTCTGCAGCAACAAGGATGGAGCTGGAGGAATTATCCTAAGTGAATTAACACAGGAACAGGAAATCAAATATCAATGTTCTCACTTATAAGTGGGAGCTAAGCACTGAGTACACATGGACACAAAGATGGGAATAATAGACACTGGAGCCTACTTGAGGGGGAAGAGTGGGTGGAGGATGAAGGTCAAAAAACTACCTATCAGGTACATCATTATTTATACACCATACCCCAGTGACATACAATTTACCCATGTAACAAACCTGCACATGGACCCCCTGAATCTAAAATAAACGTTGACAGAAAAAAAACTCATCTCTCTATCCTTCCCTTTGCCCTAAGTCCCTCAAATTCGAATCCCCTCAAATGGCTCAGATAATTGGTAAAACCAAATGTATGGGGAAAGGATCTGTAGCAATCTCTGCTTTTTTCAGGACCTACCTCCAAGTCACAAGACACAGACAGACACACACACACACATCAATTCCATGACAAAGAAAACATAAAAGGGCCAGAGCATTGTGTTCTCAGACACGATTGTCAGAGAGGAACAGGGACACAATCAAAGATCTGTAGGAGACCAGATATTGACAAGTCTGAACTAGGTCCTCTGAAGAGAGGAAGAAGGATCTCTGAAGGTGAGGAAATTAGGCATGTCCCCTGAGGAGACACTGGTGTAAGGATGGGGCTGGGAGACCATCTGAGGGTTGGGGTGACTGAGGTAGTGGGGGTTATATGTCAAGAGGCAAAGTCTAGTTCTGTGCAAGAAATATTCCATGTAGAGAGGTGGGGTCAGATCTGGAAAAAGAAAAACATCTAAAAGGACAAGAATCTCTGTTGGTAACAAGTTTCCTAGTTGAGTTTTTATTTATTTATTTATTTATTTATTTTTAAGAGACCAGGTCTCACTATGTGCCCAGGCTGGAGTGCAGTGGCTATTCACAGGTGCGATCCCACTACTGATCAGCACAGGAGTTTTGACCTGCTCCATTTCCGACCTGGGCTGGTTCACCCCTCCTTAGGCAAACTGGGGTCCCCTGCTCCCAGGAGGTCACCATATTGATGCCGAACTTAGTTGGCATAGCGATCGGCATAGTGCACTACAGCCCAGAACTCCCAGGCTCAAGCGATCCTTCAGCCTCAGCCTCCTGAGGAGCTGGGACTGCAAGCATGTGCCGCACCTGGCCCCAGTTGAGTTCTTATGCACATCTAAGCATGAGAACCACTGTGAGTAGAGGATAAGGAGCTGCTAAACGATTTTAAAGTGGAGAGGATGTAACAGCAAAGTATTCTCTCATTAGTGGTGTCTTAACTCACTGCCATTCAAAATCTTCTTCCAGGGGGATTTTAACAATTTAAGGAGGATAGCTCAGGTCTTAGAAATACTTAAAGAAGTCTGGGCATGGTGGCTTATGCCTGTAATCTCAGTACTTTGGGAAGCTGAGGCGGGAGGATCCCTTGAGCACAGGAGTTCAAGACCAGCCTGAGCAACATAGGGAGACTCTGTCTCTACAAAAATTTAAAAAATTAGCTAGGCATGGTGGTGTATGCTTGTAGTCCCAGCTACCCAGGAGGCTGAGGTGGAAGGATCACTTGGGCCCAGGAGCTCGAGGCTGCAGTGGGCCATGATTGTGTCACTGTATTCCGGCCTGGGTGACAGAGCAAGATCTTGCTTCTAAAAAATAAAAGTTCTTAAGCAAGTATATATTAAATAGAAGCTTTTACAATTTTGCCTGAAGATCAAAGATTGGAATTTACTCCATATACAGAGACGTTAGCTAAATACAAAAATTTCATTACCCTAATGCTATACAATTTAAAAATTCTAAGAGCCAATTAAGAAAGTTAGAAAAATATAATCAAGGTATAAGATGATGAAACAATTAAATTAATAAGTAGTTGTTTGAGATCTGTATCAGACAGCAAAAATTTAAGTGGTGTTCAGAGATTTCAAGTGGAAACTTTCTCATAGAGTCATATAATTTTCAAACAAAAAAGACTAGTTTTTATCATTATAACACATTTCAATTCACAAAAAATTTCATTTGAACAGCCATGTTTATATTACTTTTGCATAGCGCTTTAGTTGTTCAATATTAGTGAAGAAATCTAAATTTTCACATAAAATCCAAATATGCCATGCTCAGAATTCCCAGTCTTGCATTCTATAAAAAATGCACTTATTACTACAGAGAAAAAATTAAATTACTTATTTTAGAATTAAGAGGAAATTTTAAATTCTTTTTTTTTTTTTTTTTTTTTTTGAGACGGAGTTTCGCTCTTGTTACCCAGGCTGGAGTGCAATGGCGCGATCTCGGCTCACCGCAACCTCCGCCTCCTGGGTTCAGGCAATTCTCCTGCCTCAGCCTCCTGAGTAGCTGGGATTACAGGCACGTGCCACCATGCCCAGCTAATTTTTTGTATTTTTAGTAGAGACGGAGTTTCACCATGTTGACCAGGATGGTCTCGATCTCTTGACCTCGTGATCCTCCCGCCTTGGCCTCCCAAAGTGCTGGGATTACAGGCTTGAGCCACCGCGCCCGGCCCGGAAATTTTAAATTCTTAATTCTAATTTCATTTTAATCATTTTTGAGGTTTAACAGTATTTAATACAAAGGCTCCCAAATTCAGAATATAATTTTTAGAAGAATAACATCCATAGAATTATTATTATTATTTAATCAAAGAAAGCAGGATGTAG